GGAGGCGGTTTGGAGTTTTGTGAGTTTTTCCTTGAGGACGGCTACTAGGCCAACTATTGTGAGAAATCGGCCTTCTGGGAAGGGCGTGCCGGGGGTTTGATCTCGCTCCCGGTCTTGGTCTTCGGTTTCGGCTTCGGATTCTACTCCTTCGCGGGAGGGGGAAGGTGAAGGTGAAGAATAGTCGCAGCCTGACTCTCGGAGTCTCTTGGACATGGGCTCGTCGGCGCTGCGCCATCTACCGTGACTGCTGCTAGGCCCGGGATCAGATGCGTCTCTGTCTCTGCGCTCGTCCGGGTCCCAGACCTCCTTCCCCTTCCTATCGTTGCCACTGCTAGGTTCTTCGGGACTCTGGTTCATGTTGAACATGTATATGCCATCCCCGCTCCACGAGACAAGTACATTATCCGGATGCGCATCCGAGATCTTACAAGAGGTAATATGCGGATCTCGCCATTCCCCACCTCTACCAGGCCTGGGCACAAACTTCCTAACACACCTGGTCGCTGTATCCATAGCCGTGGCAGCGGTAGAGCTAGAACTAGAACTAGAACTCCTCCCACTGCCCCTCTCGGCTGCCAGATCCCTCCCAGACATCCTCCTATCGTGCAAGAAGCAGTGCGAATTCTGACCGCCCAGAGCGATATAGAACGGCTGACTCGTCGAGCAAGAAATGGCATTCAACTCAATCCCCCACTTGCGGTAACTGATTAACGGGGGTGCCCGACCACTATTCAATCCGTCCTCATCCTCGTCATCAATCATCGTCATGCCATAGAACGACCCCCCTCTACCATCCCTCTTCCTCCTCCTCCCGCTCGGCCTAGCGTAGTACTCACTCGGCTGCCTCAGATCCCACTGCCTCACGGTCCCATCCTCGGAGCAGGTCAAAAAGGTATACGGATTCTCCTCGGTCACGATCCTCTTGACGCGCGAGGTATGGCTCCTGTAGACCTTGTGCCGATCCTCTGCGTATGAATACCTTTTTAACGGGGCGATATCACTGCCGGCAACAACCCTCCTCCCAAAGAAAAAGTGTTGTCCGACAGCCGGCACGGAGGTAGGTGGGACGGGCCGGTTCGACTTGTTTGCTGCGGAGTTTGAGCTCGTGGGCGCGTACTCGATGTCGAAGATGCGTACTTGGGAGTCACCAGCCGCCGAGAGTATGGTGCGGTCGGAAGAGTGCGGCATGAACTTTACGCTAAAGATGTTTTCCGTGTGGCCCGTGTCTATGCGCGTGTTCAGCGCAAACTCTGGGTACACGGTATGGATGTTGACCTGTGTGTCGTCGCTACCGGAGGCCAGGAGTTCGCCGCTGCGGGACCAGCTTTTTGCTCGATTAGCTCCATCAACCCCATAAGTTAGTGGGGGAGGGGGGGGTACCAGAGTGCGTTAACACATCCCTCATGTCCCGATAACTCGGCTACCAGATCCAACCTCTCGATCCAAGAACGTGCCCCGTAAAAGCTAGCATTGGACCCAATCCCACGGGCACCGTTGAGCTCTCGATAAAGCTTTCTCCTCTCCATAAGTAAACTTGCTCCACAATCGTTATCCCCGTTACAGTTGTAAATATCTCCCAAGGGTGAGGGGGGAAGAAATGACGAATAAAGTGTGCAGCAGCGGATGCGGAAAAGAAAGAAGAGTAGTTGTTCGCGGGATTGAACTGGAATGACGTGAGGCAAATTCTATCCCTCCGAGCCTTGATTAACTCCTCCACCCCACAACTCCCATGCGGAAAAACTTGGCAACAACCCGACCACCCGGCTTATCGCGATAAGCATGCACACAAAGGGATGAAGCGAAAAAATGATCGCGGCAGGGATCGAACCTGCAATCTCTTGATATCAGAAGTAATCGTAGTCAAGCGCCTTGCCATTGGGCCACGCGACCTTTACATGTCTCAACCACTTAGCTTACAACACCTGAGCATCTAAAGCCCTCAAGTGTCCAAGATCCCTGAAGCGAGTATCGTACGATATCATAATATCATACAAACACCGACACAACTTTTTATCATTTCCAAATCTCCAAATTCATAAACCAAGCATGATAGCATGAGAGGCAGCCAGACAAACTCGTATGATACCATCCACCACATCCAACACCCCCACCAGCAACTCTCAAAACCTAAAACACAGCGACCGTAAACCTTACTTAAACAAAGCCAAGTTCATTCGCTCGGCAAGCACAACTCCCCGCTACCGATATCATACCAAGACGAGCCCCACCGAACCTACCCGAAGCCTCGGCCTAACTCCAAAGTTCAATCACATATCATAAGCAGACAGGGAAAATCCTTCCCCAGGAGTTCTAGGCCACGAGGGAGTCGCCTACCGGCAACCGTCGCTCTAGAGAAGTACACTTTTACATGGTATCAAGAGAATCGTATGAGCACTCATGGGCAGTATCTCGTCCAGCGCGAGTGCGCACGATAAAGTGCTTCCCTAACATTGAAGCCTATAGATATGGTACTGTACATCGCGAGCAGCATAAGGTACAAGTACGGTGGTCGGTTGTACCACGTACGATAAGAATACAGCACGTCACCATCCATATCAATTGAAATTCCAATCTCCAACTATGATAGCAGCCAGAAGCAACCACAACGAATCTCCGTCCTCCAACCTCCAATAACACGATGGGCATTCATAGGGAGTTGACCTGAATTCTTTTGATTTTCTATCAACAGTCTCGAATGCTGATACAGGGACATGAAACTGGACCGGTCAGTCCGTTGCTTTGCAAAATCCTATACAAATCGGTGTAGCCTGATATTCAACCATGTGAATCTCTGGGTTTAGCTTTGTCAAAACCCCCCCCCNCACAGAATCTTTCTCATTCATCGTCGCTACATAGATGCATATTGAAGATTGCTGTTTTGTATGGAAAATCGGGGGGGAGGGGGTGGCACGTTTCTTTCGTGACCGAGTTTGTGCCGTACAGTGCAAGCGAGCGAGTGATAACCCTGACTCTATTCCCCAATTCTATAGAGCGTAGCGGAGTACCAATGCGAATACCAATACTGTACTAGTATCCTCCGCTCCACGGCCAAGTCGAACATACCGGTCTCTTGAGAATCGAAGCTAGCACTTTGCCCGTAATTCTATAATCCTCATTCATCCCATGCACACATGCGTGTATAGTACTGTACCGGTAGATGGGGTGTGCCGGTATTTCCGCGCACAATAAAAAGAAAGTAGAGTACTCGGGGGTGCAGGAAAATAATTAGCATTTTGTGGTGCAATGTGACGCAATGTGGCAAAAACTATTCCTTAGAGTGATATAGGAATTAGATAGTAGTCAGGTTGCCTAGCTCCATCGCCTGAGAGTCTGCAACAATTGTGAAAATACATGGAACTCAAAGCAATTACCATTGCGAGATCTATTGAAAAGAAACCACAGAAGATGAACAGCTTCGCATCATGATACTATAGGATCAGTTGACTTCAAAAGGCACACCAATGCCATGGAAAGAAATCGCTCATAAGGTGGATATTAATCAGAGAACCTGTCGGATGATCTATCTATAAGTAAAAACTTATAATATACTTAGCAATCAACTACATACCAGATAGCCTTCAATTTTGAAGAAAGAGGATGTTCAAAATATTATTGAATATCTTACTTATAACCATTATGTCCATTAATTGTTATAGGAGGCAATTAGAGACAATCTTGGTCTTCAATACTACCCCAATTATATCCATGATCTCCTTGCATTGCATAGCTACTATAGGCATACACTGCATCAAAAATGAGGAATTCGAGAGCCAATTAAAGCCAAATGAGTACAATAGTATCAGGAAACAATAAATTAGACTTATGATGATTGGTTTAGAACAGTTTGATCAGATGAGTCATACTTTTCTACTGCTAGCCTTGGTAGTAAACTACCAGTTATTAGAAATGCTGAGGAGGAATACTATCCAGACTGTATTAATGAAGTTTGGGAGTCAGGTTCATATAGTGTGATGGTATGAGGTATATTCTGTGGGCAATTGAAAAGTAACTTAGTTTTTGTAAAAGGAAAGATTACAGTTAACTCAGAGGTTTCTACTCTTTAAATTCTTGATTGATATTTGATACTCTTTTGACATACAACTTGTAAGATATATAGCTAGATATAGGTTGTTGAAGATAGCACCCCAGAGTATAAACAATATAGCATAAAGCTACAGGAGAAAACCCAAATAGAGATTCTTTCATACAGCCTATAATTGCCAGATCTCAATTTTATTGAATATCTATAGAGGGATATAGAGACATACTTAGGAAAAATGTATGGAAGAATTGTAAATAAAAGTTCTTAAAGTGGACACTACATAAAACATGGGATAAAATTAGACAAAAAAGGCTAAATAGACCAATTAGATCAATGCCTAATCATTTAAATACTGTAATTGAAGCAGATCGAAGTCCAATACAATACTAGTATTAGTAAAATCTCTAATGGTTTTCTAATTGGTTTATTAAAACTACTTATTTAAAAATAGCTGACTACTTTAAGATAGTATGCCCTTAACTATTCAGTTTGTCCATCTTTACAGTAGAATAGAATAAACTATTTCTGATATTCTCTCTTTTTAATATTACTAGGATAAACTATAAGTAGTGTTCACCACTATCAAGCCAATCGATCTTTGAAGTAGAATGGGATAGCCTATCCTTAGTAGTTTGTTTTATTAAAAAGGTTAGGATAGAGTATAGCCAGGAGTTGTTGGACTGGATGGACTACAGAGGGCTACTACCATATACTAGTAAGTATTCTTAGTAGTCTATAGCTATTCCCCATAGTCCATAGCTGTCCCCGTAGTCCACCAACATTCCTTATATTTCACTACCTTTATCCACATTCGGTAGCTGTCTCCTACAGTATAGAGCTATTCTTTATAGTTCATACCTGTTCCTGACAGTCCATATCTATTTCTTGCTATCTACACTGATTCTCAGCTGTTTACAGTCTTCCTTACAGTGCACAGCTATCTTCCATAATCTACAGCAATCTTCTGCAGTCTACAGCTACCCCTCATAGTCTACAGCTATTCTCCATAGTCTACAGCTATCCCCTATAGTTCTCAGCTATCTCCCACAGCTAACAGTTGTCTTCTGCAGTTCCCAGCTGTCCCCTGCTATTCTTGGCTATTTTGCACAGTCTATAGCTATTCTCCAGAGTCTAGAGCAATCTTCCATAGCCTATAGCTATCTCTAGGCCTATAGTCTACAGCTATCCCCTATAGTCTACAGCTATCTTCTGCAGTCCAGAACTGTTCACCATAGTTTACAGCCATCCCCCATAGTCTACTACTATCTTCCACAATCTACAGCCATTCTCTATAGTCTCTAGCTATTGTCCACTATTCAGAGCATTCTTCTATCATCTATTCAGAGTATTCTTCCATCATCTATAGTACTAGTAGTCCTTAGTCATTACTAGAAGTTCTCTGCTATCTCCCTACTACCATCTTCCTGACTACTACTATTTCAACCTTTAGGGCCTGTTATTCTATCTAAGAATAACTCTTTTACTCTATTTATCGTAACTCTTAGCATTCTCCTGATAGGACTCTGCTGGGCTCCTAGATAATTGTAAATACTGCTTTAAGTATATTAAAATGACTGGAAATATACTATCTAGATATATTTGAGTTTTTCACAATATCAGAAGTAATCTGAATAGACTACTGCCTTAATATCAACTTGAGAACACAGAAGCAGTAAATCAGTTTTGGAATAAAAAAAAGATAGGCTTTAAAACCAACTGCACTTGCATCTCTTCATCTCAGATTTTGACCATTCAAATAACTTATTCTATTGACCACAAATGAACCACTATGCATTTTTAATTTCTTTATGCTAAAAGATAATCTGCTGCCTTAGGTTCTCTGCTGTTCTAAATAAATTCTTGAGATTTTGACAATTTGTGATAGAATAATGTAATAGAATAATTGATTATGACTCATCTATATTATTCTTGATAGGAATAAGAGTACTGTAAAGCTATTTTCAAAATAGATAGAGACTAATACAAGATAGCATGTGAGTCTTAAAGTTTTCTTGTATTTTTGAACTTACTTATAGTATTATTTTTGATACTTAAGTACTAGTACTTGAGCCTGTACTACAGTCAGTAGCTACATGTATTACAAAATATTAATTACTTCCCTGCACCCCTTGGCATAGTACTTAGCACTACTCTATTCAATTAAAGATAATATTACAATATCAAAAGCACCTGACTAGTGTATGATAGTATGAGGTTTTTGGTTACATATACCAGAATAAGTGTTGTTTGGAGGTCACAGTTGTTGGGAAGTTTGGTTACTCACTTAGCTGAAGGTTTACGTATTGGAGCCTAATAGAAACTAATAGAAGATTGCAACTGTGCATAAGGAAGTGGTTAGGGTAATTAAAATTCATTAGTGAAAGATTTTCTTATATTATATAAAGTGGTATACCTCTTAGTATTTTACTTTTCTTATACATCATAGTAATTCCTGTCTACACATGTACTTAGAAATTACATTTCTTTCTCTGTTTTGGGTTCCTGGAATCTGCAAACCCTAACCCTGAACTCTCAGAAACCTGTTCCTGAACTCTTGAGTCTTAATACAAGCATATCTTATTTGTATACCTATATATGACACCTGTCCTGCCTGCCGTGATATGCCTTATACTATCTAATACTTTGTAATTAGTGCACCTCTAAGGAGATAGACCCAAAGGTTGCCACGACACTGAACAACTTCAAACTTACCACCAAAAGTTCACATATAAATATAAAAGTAAAGTAACAGTAAAACTTGATATTATTAAGCCAAATACTTCACTCAGTTAAGGCCTTGAGAAAGTGTTGATTATGTTAGATTAGAAGAGTTCTTACCTAGATTTAA